GCTGTATCCGCCATCAGACGTTGGCAATCATGTTGGCGATCCTATTTTTATCAACAGCTGCACGAAAAAGTCCCCTAGATTTTGTAGCCATGATGTTTTTCTTCTGCCTGGACCTCGTTTGTCTTCAGTCTTTCCCGGGTGGATTTAGTGAAGTATGCCGTATTTTTCCAGGTGTCGCACCACATGTCCAAAATATTCTAACTTTGGCTTTTTAATGGTTTTGATTATTTCCCTTGGCTTTCCCAGGCGGCTTATCACCTCCTCGTTTCTGATTTTGTCAACCCAGTAACAGCTGTCTGTTACTGGGTTGTTAGACCACTGCTCTAAGTAATATATAGCTCGTAGGTCCATTGTTGAAGGGAGGCGGTGGCTCAGTGGCTAAAACACTGAGCTTGTCAACCAGAAAGGTCGGCAGTTCGAATCCCTAGCGCCATGTAACGGAGTGAGCTCCTGTTACTTGTCCCAGCTTCTGCCAACCTAGCAGTTCGAAACCATGTAAATTTAAAAAATGCAAGTAGAACAATAGGAACCACCTTTGGTGGGAAGGTTAACAGCGTTCCGTGCGCCTTCGGTGTTTAGTCATGCCGGCCACATGACCACGGAGACGTCCTCAGACAGCGCTAGCTCTTGGAGCACAGGGAGGCAATTTTGGCCCTCCTGGAGGCTTGAGGAAAGCCTCCAGAGCCTGGGAGGGTGAAAAACGAGCCTCCCAGAAGTTCCAGAAGTCCACAAATGGTTCGGTTTCCAGCTTCCGGATCCGGTGGGGGGAGGACATTTTTGCCCTCCCGGAGGCTTGAGGAAAGCCTTCAGAACCTGGGGAGGGTGAAAATTCCCTCTGCTGTGATGCAGGAGGCGGAGTAGGCCACACACCCCATGGCCATGCCCACCCAGCAACCGGGCAGAGAACCAGTTGCCCAAATTTTTTTCAATCCCACCTCTGGGTACCGCTGTGTAATATTTCAGTTCCAAAGGTGAAGAGATGCCTTGAGTGGGGTGGGGTGGCAAATATTTCAAGCAGCTCTGGGTTTTTCTTCTTTGCTAAAATTGTGTACATTTTCTAGGCAGTCCTGGAAAAAGACACAAATCAAAGACGAGTTTACTTATTCTGTCAGCTGGTGTGGAAATTCAGTGTTAATTCTGTGGGTGCCTTTTTTGCAGAGACCCCAGTGGTGACAATGAGCAGCAGGATGGAGTCTGAGGATGGGATGGAGACGCACGTCTGCAAAATCCATGGCTTCTACCCCAGGGAGATCGATGCCTCCTGGACGAGGGATGGGGAAGTCTGGCTGGAAGAGACCTTCCGTGGGTCTGTGGCCCCCAACGCGGATGGGACCTACCACTACTGGCTCAGCATCCGGATCGACCCCAAAGAGAGGGGCCGCTATCGGTGCCACGTGGAGCACGACGGCCTGCAGGAGCCTCTGGATGTGGCTCTAAAGGGTGAGAGGCTTATTTGTGGCCACCCCGAGGCTCGATTGGATCAGCAGCAACTGGCTGGGGCCATCTTGGGAGGCGGCACCAAGTGACCAGGGTGCTCAGGATGGATGCAGGAGTGGTACGTCCAGCGGATCATCACCAGAGAAGAGACCCGCCAGAAATTAGGGGAGAAGAGCCAGCTCAGGAAATGTGGGCTATAAAGAGAGGAGGTGTGTGGCATGAAAAGGAAGAACAAAGGAAAAGAAGAAGAGTAAAGAAAGGGGGGAAGCAGCATGAAGGGGAAAAGAGACAGTGGAGACGTAGGCAAAAATACATTGGAGGAGGAGGAGGAGGTGTGGATAGCAAGTAGAGAGGAGGAAGCAGAGGTGGTATTCAGCCAGTTCTGATAGGTTCTGGAGAACCAGTAGCGGAAATTTTGAGGAGTTTGGAGAACCGGCAAATTGACTGGCCCCTCCCCTGCCGCCTCCCAGTGATCTTTTGTTGCCCTGAACAGGAGAACAGAACTGGAAAGCAGGTTAATGGGGTGGGAAGGGAATGGGGATTTTGAAGTAACCTTCCCCTGCCACACCCACAAAGCCATGCCCACAAAACCACACCACACCCACAAAGCCATGCCCACAGAACCGGTAGTAAAAAAAAAATTGAATCCCACCACTGGGAGGAAGTGTTTGTCAGTTTGCCCTGTCACCACCCTGCCTCCTGATCCCTGATTGGTGGTTCTGTATGGGAGGTGATGGGGCCAGAGAGAGGGAGAGGGAGAACAAGAATGAAGTTGATCAGAGGGCGGGACCGAAGCCGTGACGAGACGACGTGCGATCTCAAAGCTCTGAGATCGCAGTCGACACTTTTATTGTTGGGCGGGTCCCAACGGACCTAAATCATCCCAAAGAGATGGTGAATAGGAAGATTACATCTTGCTGATCTCGGGGATATCGCAAAATCTCCGAGAGAGCAAGGAAAAGTCTTCGAGATGGTAATAAAAATTCCAGTCTTTTGTCAATACTGACAAAGTCAGGGCGGCGTCAGAATGGAACAATGTGGAAAGAGAAAGTGTTTCCAGCTGGTGAGAAACTTTTATTCTTTAAAAAAAAATGGACTGCCTATAAAACCTAAA